ATAATTAAATGTAAATGTTTTTATACATTTTAATTAAAAATACTATATTTACACAAATAAATAAAATCATATATAATCTTTTAAATTTTAACCAATTTATCTATGATTTCAACTAATTTAACATGATCAAACATTATATAATATATAATTACATATATAATCAAATTATATAATGTCTCAATACCCTCAATTATTTTATTAAGGTTAGTTTTGTACAATTAAACATTCAAATTATTTTTGTAGTTTCTTATATTTTATTGAGTGATTATTATTTATGAATGTTATATTTTGCTACTGTCATATTAATTGTATTATTTTAATATGATCAGTTTGATTACGATCTAACTTACTGGCCCTTAACTCACTGTCTCGATCGGTTCAATAGCCAGTTTGAATTTTTGTTCATTTTCAAGTCAATTAAAACTACGGGTGTTCAAGGGATAGGACTTGATAGGGTCTTCCAGGTCCCGTCCTGGTAAAAAGGGATGGGAAGAAATTTTTGTCTTGTGTCCTGTCCTAAAAGGAATTGGGATAGGACTGGGATTCTCCCCTTTTTTTTCCTTTCCAAATTTACTTTTGGGTCTAACAATTTATGATTTTTTGTGTATGAACGAAAAATAATTAAAAATTCCTTCTTGTTTTTTTTGGGCCTAGCACTATAGGCTAGGAAAAAAAATATGGACAAGTTTACTTTGGACCTTTGAAATAGTGGACAGGTTTATTGGGCTTTTGGTATTTTTATTATGTTTGTAATTTTTTTTAAAATTATTACATATCCTAGGATGGGATGCAGGATGAGATGACCCGTCCCATTCCATTCAACATGTTGTCCTATCTTGAAATTTTTTTTTCTTGTCCCATCCTATCTCAAAATGATTGAGATTGGAATGGACCCACCGAGACAGGATAAATTGAACACTTCTAATTAAAACCTCTTATTCTCATTTAAGGACCCAAACACAGTTCATGAAATATAAAATAAATACGTAAGATGAGTTTGTTTTGATTTACGTAAAATATGTTTATAAATATTTATAAAAAAATTTGTTTTGATTTGTGTAAAATATGTTTATAAACATTTTTAAACATGTCATAACTCATTTGCCCCTCGTTTTATTCCCTATAGGTGGGGCAAACGGTGAAAGTGAGGAGAAGAGTGAAGAGGTGAGAGGGAGAAACTTGTTGGGTTTTCTTCTCGGAAGTTAGGAAGCTCAAATCGGCCAAACAATGAGTGTCCACTCCACAGTCTCCACCCCCTTCCTCTTCCCCTTCCTCTTCCTCCTTCTCCTTCTTGGTCTCCAAAGTCCAAATATTACATTACAGACCAAAAAAATCAGTAAGCTAATTTGACATTCAAAACACCCAATCTCTACACATCCAATCAGGCAATTGTCAATTTTTTTTTTTTAGATAACAGTGGCAAGCTAAGCTTGGAAGAAACAACGCTATAGAGTAACAAGGGAAAATTACAAGGAAGTTTTAAAAAAAATTATAAAATAAGTCTCAGAAGTTATTATTTTTCATTTTAGAACTTGTCATTATAAAATGTTTAATTATCATTGAGATTTTTTAGTAATTAATTTTTTTTAGGACTTGATTATAATTTTCCTGACTAACAATTCAACCCAATAAAAAACTGCTAACAATTAGAGTTTGTTTGTTAATCTAAAAATCTTGAGAAGGGAAAGAAAGACCCCGGTTTTAGGCGTTTAGTACCAAAAATTTTTTAGAAGGGATTTTTCTGCGGCTGAAAATTTTCCCTTAAACACAGGAAGATCCATTCCTACCATTTTTGGTATTTTTGGTGGGAACCAGTTTTTCATCACAAGCCAAAAAAAACCAAAAGACTAAATTGTCCTTTAAATTTAAATAAAACACTTAGTATCTGATCAATAAAATCATGTGGAGTTGGTTGAATACTCAACATATCATTGAATTTTTATCTTTGTCACCTGTTTATCTATTTTGTGACCAGTGAGTCGCTCAACCAGCAATGTAATTAATTCAAATTTTGCACAAGAAGTTAAAATGTATTGTGCATAACAAATTTTAATTTACATTAATAACATTTTTAAATTTTTAGCTACAAAAAAGAACTGAGTATACTTGAATTTGATGCAAAAAAAAGATAAATTTGCTACAACAATTCAAATTTGATGTAAGGAAAAAAATTTAAATTTCTTACATCATATTCAAATTTGCTTGCTCCTTTTCTTATCATATCAAAACTTAAATTTTATCAAAATTACTCCATCAATCTAAATCTGAATTAGGTAAATGACATATCATAAGAGCTATTTAAATCTAGTCTTTAACATTTGCCGTCATTTTTAATGCATTTTGTCTTACTACATTTAAAAAAAGGCCAGGTTATGATTCTCTTTGGCATCACGGTGTTTATAAGTTGTTTTTTGAAACTATGATTTTGGATCAGTTTTTGACCAATTTTATTTATGGGTCAAAATTTGATTTTTTTTGTTAATTACAATTGTAAAAACACTTAAAATCTACTTATGATTTACACAAAAATAATTTTTTAGAATTAAAAGATATTTTTATCCTTATATTTATATTGCTTTTATGTTTTTTTTGGTATATTTCTTGTGCTTTCCATGTTTATGATTCCTTAATTACTCTTATTACAAGTGGAACTATTGCCATCTACACCCAATTTTTTTTAATTAAAATCAAGAAATTACTAAACAAAAGAAAGAAGAAATTTTACCGGAAATTATCCACTCAATAGGATGCCATATAAAATGTGAGAAGCCTTCTACAGACCTTAAATTAAATTCTGATATATTCAACACCTTAAAATATTTTTTTAATGTGCTTCTAACATTCTAAATTATTTTTAGTGCATCTAACATTCTAAATAGCTAAATTTAAAATTGCTTTTAAAAATATTTTAAGGTAATTGAATTAATTTTTCTTTCAAAATACAAGGCATACGAGGACAATTTGGTAATTTCAGTTGAAATCCAAAGGCACAAAGTGGCTGGGGAAACCGTCAATGATTGCGCTGAATATGAGATCAATAAGACGTGGGTTCACCGGATTCTCCTTTCTACCACGTGTGTTCGCGCCCTCTAAAATATTTGTGAAAAAAGAGAACAATTATATTATCACTATTTTCAACTTAATAATATTTTTTTTGGGTCAGAATTCAACTTAATAATCTGACTGTTTGGTTTCAGGATAAAATTTCATTATTTGGAAAAATTTTATTTTTAAGAAAGGATTACTATAATTTTTTATCTTCAAAATTTGGGTCTATTTTGTTTTTAGTCATTCAAGTTTCTAATTCATAATTTTAATCCTTAAAATTTAGTCATTTTTCAAACACTAGTCCCAAAAAATGTAACAGTGTTAAAATTTACAAAGTACTCTTCCGGTCCTTAATATAAGATCCATTTAACTAATTTGATTAGATTAAAGAAATTAGGTAAGTCAGTTAATTATAAGAAAAGTGACATATTTTTCCTAAAACACCATAATCATCTTTTTTAATACCCCTCCTCCTCTTCTACTTAATTATGGTTGAAGGAGTATCTATAGGGGTAATTTAGAGAAAATTGATAAATATGATAAATGGGTCTTATATTTAGGACCAAAACTAACTCAATAATTGGGTCCTATATTAAGGACCGGACAAGTATCATAAACAACATTAAAGTGGTGATATAGAATTACCAAATGCTCCTCCAATCCTTAATATAAAACCTATTTAACTAATTTGATTAGATTAAGAAAGTTAGGTAGGATTAATTTAAATATGCTGGGAGCCGTTGGAGCGTGCTGCATGAAAAGGCCAAGGTAAATCACACTTGGGAACTACGAGAAGGATAATCATTCTTTATATGTCATTTTCAATATTTAAAATAAGATTAGCCTTAATTTCGACGCTTTTACTGAGTTATTGATGCTTTAATCTTTCTATTAAAAAAAATTAAAATATAAATTAAGAATTTGGGAGAGACGAATATCATCAAGCCCAAGTACTATGATAATAGCATTTTGGGTCTAAAATTTTTTGGAAATTTTTTGCTAAGCTAAGAGAAAAATGCATTTAAGATTAAATGCCTAATAATATGAATAAACATAAAAATTAGGAATTGACTAAATATTGATTTTTCAGTATCCAAACACTTACCCACTGATGGAAGCATTTTGAGATGTTAATTTGTTAAAGATAACTTAAAATTTTATAAATAAATGTGATATGTAATAACAAAAAATTAATTTGTCAAAACTTAAATAGTTGTCAAGTAGAAATTTTTTACTCATTATATTTTAACCATAAAATAAAATTCAAAGTTACTTTAGAATATTTGAGTTATCCCAAAAATAGCAAGTAAAAGTTTTATAATTAACAATAACACATGCGAAATTTGACAAGTTAATTTATAATTATCACGTAATATATTTACTTGTAAAAGTTCAAGTTATCTTTAAAAATAAGGTATAGTGATTATCCTTCAATTTGATAAGTACTTTTTCAGATTTTAACCAGTCAATTTCTATCCATTCACATGTACTTTTTTACTTGGAGGTGCTAGCGAGAAAGATAGATTAAATAGTTCCAAAATTCTTTTAAGGCAAAAAAAATAAAACTGAGGAGAACACCTAATAAGTCATTGAATAGGACTTTTTAGTTAGTAATCTAGTTAAAAATTTGATTATTACATTATATAATTTTTTAGGATATTTAGATAAAAATCAAACCATAATTTTTAAAATAATTTTATAATATATAAAATAAATATAAGAAAGAGTTTGTCTCACATTTTACAGAAAAATATTTTTTAAAAGTATTTTTATTATTTTCCAATTACCCGGTCCCCAAAAATTTGCCCTTGGTGTTGAGAAAAATTTACACCATTATTTTGGCCCTCAATAACATTATCGCTGACAATTTTAAATTTCATTTTAATAGTTAACCGACCACGCTCCTCCAGAAGAAGCCTCTCCTACTGATCTCCCGTCACCATCTCTCTGCCTCTGGCTCTCCATCCCCATCTCTTCTCTGTGCTCGAGAGCCCAAAATCACTCGGAAAAATAAACGCAGAATGATAACCAGATTCTCCGCGGTAGGTTTTGCCGTATTATTTTTGCTGTCACAACAAGAATCCACATGTTTCAGCACCACACAAACAGCTCCGAAGCTATCAGAATTCAGCCTGAAGCTTCACCAAAAGCTCATCGCTGCAGCGGCTTCGCCTGAAACCAAGATTACGGTAAGAATGCGATGCCACATTGGAGCTTCTTTACAATTTTTGTTCTCCGCAATTGTTCTCGGGATCCAAACGGTGAAATTGTGTAAAATGCAGAAAGGGAAGACGAGAGTGGTGTACCCGGCGGAGTACGGCGGAGATCCGACGGGAGAAGAGGAGAGCAGCGAAGCGTTCGAGAAGGCTCTGGAAGAGGCATTTGCGATGGCGACGGAGGGACGCGAATTGGTGAGAGGAGTGAGGGATTTGGGAGGAGTGGTTATTGATTTGGAAGGAGGAAGCTACCGAATCGGCAAACCAATTTCGTTTCCTTCTTCTGGCGGTGGCAATCTTGTGGTTATTACTCTGCACCCCCATCTCTCTCTCAATAATTTTAACCATTTCACGTCCAGTAACATCATTGTTTTTGTTTTAATTTTTATTTTTTTATGGCATATGATAATCTTTTAAATTGAGACCACCACAAGTTCACAGGAATATACTTGGGTGATTAAAAAATTAATTAAATAAGTCATTTATTGTAAATATATATTATTTTTTTAAAAATTATTCTCTTTTATGATGTGTAGCAGATAATTAAAATTATAATTTTTATAAATTTTTTTTATAATTAATAAGAATATTTTAGTAAAAGATATCAAAATTTTATATTTATGATTAGATTTAACTATCAACTAATTATTAAGAGCTTACAAATAAAAGTACTTATTTTTCATTTTTGGATAATAAATAAGAATTTTTATTCCTTCCCCTAAACCATGCCTTGCCGACAAAAAAATAATGATATCTCGTGAATTCTCAAGTAAATCTAGATAACTAGTGATACGATTTTTCATTAAAAAGAAGTTGTGGGTTTTGATTTTCAATGTGAAAAAAGTTCTTGGTTTTTGAGTTTTTTGGGCCATGGCCCACGGCCCACGTATAGAAAAGTTTTAAATTTAAATATGGGTTAATTAATCTGGAAGTCCTTATAGTTTTAACCAATTTTGAATTAGGTCCTTATAGTTTTTTTTCTTTTTATCAGGTCCTTATACTTTCATCTATTTTTAATTAGGTCCTCGCATTTACTTTTCTTTTTATTAAGTCCTTATAATTTCACTAAAATTTTAATTAGGTCCATCTAGTTTTAATTTTTATTTATTAATTAAATATGAACTTAATTAAATAAATTAGTACTGAAATATAAAATATTAATAATTATATAATAAAATATAAGTAATATAATTAATTAATTAAGGATATTTTTTTAAAACAATTAATTGTTTTTGCTAAAAAAATAAAATTATTATAATAATTCATTATTTTTAGAATATTATTGTTTATAAACTAATATTACATAATATATACTATTTTATGTTTATAAAATAGTACTATTAGAATTTATAAAATAAAGAATAAAAAATTCAGGGACTTACTTAAAAATAAGGTGATCTTATAAGGACTTGATAAAAAGAAAAATAAATACAAGGACCTAATTAAAAACAGGTGAAAGTATAAGGATCTGATAAAAAGAAAAAAAATTATAGGGACCTTATTCAAAATTGGTTGAAACTATAAGGACTTGCAGATTAATTATCCCTTTAAATATTACAAACGAGGAAAATCTCCCATATAATATGATAGGATGTGAAAGCTCGTAGCCCAAAACATAAAAAAAATAAATATTTAAAGAATTAATAAATAAATCATAAAAAAAAGGATATTTATTTTAGCCCTCTATTATATATATTGTTTCAAAGTGAACTCCGGGACAGAGATTCCGTTTCCAGTAGTCCTCTACTCCCCTCATCTTTCTCTTAAAACTAGGAATGCTTTATCCTTTTTCCTGCCGCAGGCCTACTTTAACTTTTACCCTCGTTTGTTTGCGTGGGAAACAAGGAAAATAAATGATGAGAAATTTTTTTAATAAATTTGATTTTAAAAAAAAAATATATGATTGTAAAATTTTAATAAGGTGAAGATGTAAAATTAAAAAGAAAAAAAGAAAAATTAATTAAAAATTTCTAACTAGTCTTCTCCAAATTTTTTACATTTTTTACGTCTTCTCGTCCCTTTGTTTCCTTCAATCGAACACATCTTTGCCCCCTACATTGATAGTATTTCTTTGGTTTTTAGTATAAAAGTTAAATAATTAATTTGTAAATATTAAAAAAGATTAGTTAAGTTAGTTATTTATGATAAATATATATTAATTTTTCTAAAATATCTTTTTAATTATCTCTTGATGAAAACCTTCTATCATGTGCATTCAAAATAGGGATAGTTTGGTCTGTGAAAAAACAAAAGGGGACTTTGGGGAAAAAAATATAAATTTGAGAAGTAAGAGTTGAGCTTTTATATTTAAGATAAAAATATGCCCTTTGTCTAGCTTTTGTAGTCAAGATCGGAGGTAGCATATGTATAGGCAAAACTCTTTGAATGTGTGTGAGAGCATGTGTATGTATGTGTTAATCTTACTTTTTATGTTGCTGGCTAAAAATATCTTTGTTTTTATCTATAGTTTTATTTTTCATGTTAGCGTAAGTAACTAAATATACAAATGTAAAGTGCAAGAAAAATTTTGTCCAAAATCAATAAAATGTAATACTAAGATATTTCACGACAATGTGATTATAAAATTGAATTTATGAGTTATAAATTACAAGCCGTTAATTGCAAAATTGGTAATTATAAATATTGAATTTAAAATTGAGTAAAATACAACAATTTAATAGATTTATTTTTACATTTGAGTTTTGGCAATGAATTAGGCAGATTATTAAAAGTATAATATTAATACTCCTTCAGTCCTTAATGTAGGGCTTAATTTAGGAGCTTATATTAATTTTATATGTAAGACTTATTTCACAAATTTATTAATCTTTTTTCAAATTAATCATATTGATATTTTTCTAATAATAATTAAGTAGGAGGGGAGAGGGAATTAAGGAAGATGCTAAGGGTATTCTAGAAAAAATATACTATATTAGCTAATTTAGCTAACATCTTCAATATACTCAAATTAGTTAATTAGATTTTATATTAAGGATTGGAGGAGTATAATATAAAGTGTAACACCATATCATCACTTTTACCAAAATGCAGAGGAAGTACTTATATTGTGGACCTGATGTAAATATAAGATGTTGCTGTTGCAGATAAAATAAATTAAAATCTTGTGTTGTTGTCTTGGCTTTTCAATATTTGAGGGTTTTCTCCGACGAACACAACTTAATGGTCTAGAAAACATGTTAGTAAAGAATTTTGATTTGATCATTTATGTATATGTTCTTAATTAGTCATTCAATTATCCATTTAATGAAAAAGTGACATGAATGATGAAAGCAAAGAAGCAAAGAATTATGAATAAAATTTAGTTTACCTCTTTATATTGATTCATCTTTAACCTACATTGCATTAGATCTTAATTGCCCTACCTATACATAGAATTGGGATCCTTTGAAAGTGTTAGACAAAATACACAACATTACATATTCACCTGATTTTAATTTGAGGCAAGAAAAGTTATTAATTTTTTTTTTGCCAGAAAAGCAGATATTTGCTTAATCAGTAGTAATAACCCTCCTCATGCATATGCCTTAAGAAGAGGAGTTTTCTGTGTCAAAGAAATTAAATTTTACCTGAATAGAGGTCTCTTTCTTAGATGTATAATTGATTAAATTAACTAACTACATGTATCTATATGGTTGATTAGGTAAAAAGTGGAAGCTTGAGAGCAGCTGAAACTTTTCCAAGTGACAGGTATCTGGTCGAGTTATCCTCATCAAACTCTTCACAACTTGATAATTTAGTGGAATCCTTGCATGTCGATGGCATCTCTGGCAAGAAAGCTCAAAATGATGTGATTCACTATGAAGACATAAGCTTTCGAGACATCCTTTTCGACTCGAGCTACCGAGGTGGAGGCATTTCAATTGCTGATTCTGCTAGAATCCGAATCAATAGCTGTTTCTTTCTTCACTTCACGACAGAAGGGATTCTAGTCCAACGAGGCCATGAAACCTTTATCTCGAGTTGCTTTCTTGGACAACACTCCACAGTTGGTGGAGACATAGGTGAGAAAGACTACTCAGGAACCGCCATTGATCTTGCTAGTAATGACAATGCAATCACAGATGTTGTAATTTTCTCGGCAGCCATTGGGATTACACTTAGAGGCCAAGCTAATATGATTACTGGAGTCCATTGTTATAACAAAGCGACATCTTTTGGAGGCATAGGCATATTGGTGAAACTAGCTGGAAATTCACAAACTAGAATTGATAATTGTTACTTGGATTATACAGGCATAGTCATGGAAGACCCAGTTCAAGTTCATGTCACAAATGGGTTATTCTTAGGAGATGCCAATATTGTGTTAAAGTCAATTAAAGGTCAAGTCCTGGGGTTAAATATAGTGAATAATATGTTTAGTGGGGATCCCAATAAGAAGGTTCCGATTGTGAATTTAGATGGGCAATTTGGTGATATTGATCAAGTGGTGATTGATCAGAACAATGTGAATGGAATGGGGTTGAGATCAACGATCGGGAAGTTAACAGTAGGGGGCAATGGAACCAAATGGATTGCTGATTTTTCGGGTGTGTTGGTATTTCCTAACCGGATTAGTTTTTTTCAGTATTCATTTTATGCTCAAGAGCCTAAATTTGTGGCACATTGTGTGACCAATGTGTCAGATAATGTGGTGGTTGTAGAGACGAATGAAGCAGTTAAAGGGTTGGTATCTTTTAGTGTTGAGCAATGAAAAGGCATAAACTTGATGCAGTATTTACTATACATCATTGTAATTATTACTAATATGTTCCTATTTATAAGTAACTTGCAGGGAAATGAGCTTTTTTCAATTTTCTCTTGTTGACTTAATAAATAAAGAGAGAGATAAAGTAAATAGGTGAGGGAATATGTAAAATATATTTTTAATACCATTTCTTTAATAAGAGCAAATGTGAAAAAATCATCTATTTAATGCGTTTCTTATTTTGTGGATTTGGGGTACAAATGACTTAAAAATATGAATAGAGTTTTATTTGATATTGTACGAAGATCTCTCCTATCTTCAACAGGTTAGAACTTGTCTGATGTATAATCTACTAAAGCATAAATAATTCTTTTTATTGGTAAAAGTTTTGGTGAGTTATAGGTAGGATAGCAGAATTTAAACTTATGACCTTTGTGGTTTGAGTCAATTCTTTATAGTTAACTTTGTTATCTAGCAAATGTGGGCACTTCTCATAGTGAGAATTTGAACATCATTTCTTTATGTTATGAGAGGCTAGCTGATTTTACTAGACTTGAGCTGAAAAAATGAAAAGTTAGCATATTGGCTTAAAAAAGTACCCAAATAGAGGCGAAATAACCATGCTCATGTATCCTTCCATTTCTCTTATTGCAGCCAATTTGTCTATTTCAATTTTTCTTTAAAATACTATGTTGACATGTGGATATCCAATCATCCACAGCTAAGGACCAATAAAGCAAAGCATCATGACGGAAGAGCATTATGTTCAGATTGGGTTATTTGTTGGCATTTTGGGTCTTTGGATTCTAACTTAAGTATTCTCTACCTTAGTAATTTTGTATGATGTTAGTTTATATAGGCATCTTACTGGTAATATTGCGCGTTCTATTACTCTTAGATTGCAATTTACTGTTTGACCCTATATCAAAAAAGAGAAAAATATCATGTTGACACTATGCGAGGTAGATGAAAACAGATTATAAAGAGCATTAAGATAGGAGTGGTAACATAATCTGCCCCAATCAATGCAGTTTTTTCTCTGAGAGACACAGTTCAGTCAACAATATGGTAGCCAAAGAGGTCACCCACTCTATGCGACCTATGCAAGGAAATAAAGGTTATATGGTAATAAAGATTGATCTAGAGAAGGTGTATGACAGAGTAAACTGGAATTTTCTGCGCCACTATCTTGTGGAACTGAATCTACCAAATCACCAGGTGGGCATCATAGACAATTGCAACACCATTGTTTAGTAGTGCTTTGGGCTTTCAATGGAAACAGATTTGGGCAAATACCTTGGAGTAGCTTTGTATGAGAAACGGGTTACAGAGGAGAGTTTCCATGAGATCGTCAACACAGTCAAAAAATTGACTCTGAAACTAGAGAACTACAGCCCTTTCTCTTGACAAGAGAACAATATTCTCTTGGCAGTCACCTCAACTATTCCGAGCTATACCATGCAAACATCTTATCTTCCTAAGCAATTTAGATGACCAATAGAGCCGTCATATAGGGCTCCACTGCAAAAAAAAACAAGAGAAAGACCCATTTAGTCGCTTGGGAGATGGTTTGCAAACCCAAAGTAGATGGCAGGTTGGGAGTTAAATGCATGAGGCTACAGAATCAAGCATTTACGGCTAAACTTGGTTGGAACCTAATCAAGTGATGTCAAGAGCTATGGGCTAGGGTGATAAGGAGCAAGTATAAATGTGGTAATGACTTGAACCTTGCTATTGACATAGAATGACGCGGGTAATTAAATATGCTATGCAGGGTACAAAGGAAGCTTGGAAGTATGCAGAAGAGGGGATTGTGATTGACCATGCAAAATAGAATAACACGCTGGAAGTATGAACTAATTCAAAAATTTCAGCATCAAGACTGCACACCAAGCTATCATAAAGGAGTCTAATGACAGCAATGAAGAATGTGTCTAACACGGTTTGACCAGTGATGCTTCATGTACGTGGTGCCATTACTACTTGGAGTCTGTGACTCATGTCCTTCGTGATTGTCCAAACACTAAGAGTTTCTGGCTTGTGCTGTTACAAGGTGCAACGAATTGCCTATGTTTCAAAGCCAATAGTGAAAGCTAGATTAAAATGTACACCATACATGGTCTTCTCTCTGATTTAAAAGAATAGGGTGAGCCTTTTCTGCACAACTGTTTGATTGCTTTGGAAAAGGCTAAACCAGTATGTCTCTGAAGGAAAAGTTCATAGCAACACCTCTCTAAAGGTTGCTACCTTTGCCACCACCATAGAAGCCATCAGGTGTGCGAACGATAAACTCTAGGGAGTAATGCCTAATGGCAGCCGAACTGTGGCTCGTTAACTGAGTTGGACACCCTCAGAGGGATGGATGAAAGTTAATACCGATGGGGACTGCTTAACACACATGGGAGGAGCAAGTGGAGGTGTGATTTGAAATAGTCGAGGGGAGTTCATATCTGGTTTCATCCTAAGGGCTTTACCGGTGATGCTTTGATCACGGAACTTTGGGCGACTTTGTTGGGGCCTAAACTAGCTTGGGATTCAGGATCAGGACAAGTAGTGTTAGAAACTGACGCAACTAAGGTCCTCAGGCTTATTAACGAGGCGGACCTCTCAACCCACGTTGATGTGTCCCTGATTGAAGAAATTAAATCTATGAGAACCAGAGAATGGACAGTTGTCTTCGAGCATGTTCCGAGAGGGAGCAACCAAGTAGCAGACCTTTTTACCAAACTTGCTATGGTCACAACGCTGGGACACCATCTTATAGTAGCTGCTGACGTGGTGGTGGAAGCGATTCGAAGAGACATGGAGGGGAGGGATGACAATGGATAGTCTCTAAGAGCTGCGTTTCTCTTTTGGTATTTAAAAAAAGATAGGAGTAACCAATGAGCAGTTGGTCGAGTTGGTAAGTGGCCTCGCCCCCTAAAGGATGAGAATGCGTGTTCAAATTCCGGGAAGCGCTCTCGCTGGGAAAGGAGACAACCACCGCTGGAAAGCCGCGACACTCCTACCCCTCGAGTTCAGATTAGTCAGTTGCCAATAGGTGTCGGATTACCGGGCGGTGTATAACAAAAAAAAAAAGAAAAGAAAAGATAGGAGTAGTAATGTGGAATCAGTTTGTGTTCATCAAGGTGATGATGAGTACCTAAACTCATTAGATTTAAATTGTCCAGATTTAAAATTTTTAGTTATTTACTTTTAAATCAAAAATTATTTTTTGAAAAAATTTTAGTTAAGAAAATTTTTATTTTAAATTCTATACCCATCAAAATATTTATTTTAAACAAATAGAGTTAATATAATTTTTTGTCTCTCAAATTTGAGCCCATTTTGCTTTTGGTCTCTAAAATATCAAACTTGTAGTTTTAGTCCTTAGAAGTTACTCTATTGCAAAAGTTAATTCCTAGCTGTTAAGTTTTGTTGAGCTGGTACAAATGGTATTAGTTTGGATGATATGGCTTTTGACATAACAACATGAGGTAATTAGGTGACATGATGAACTGGACATGTAATTAGGAAAGGTTAAAAAAAAAAAAGAGTCAGGTCTGTTTAAAATGCAGCACATGAGGACAGAGCACCTGACCCCCCCCCCCCAAAAATTTCATGTCCAGCTCATCATGCCGACTGCAGTTGTTAAGTTAGAAGCCACATCATCCAAACCACCACTGTTTGTGCCAACTCAGCAAAATTTAATTGTTTGGGGCTAATGTTTTGTAATGGTGTAAATTCCAAGAACCAAAACCACAGACATAAAATTTTATGAACCAAAAACAAAATAGGTTCAAATCTGAGGATGAAAAATTGTATTAAACCAAACAAATAAAAAAAAAAATTAATTTGGACAGTCCAAATTAAATATGAGCTATCTAGGCCTGATGAGATGCTTATCAAAGTGAGAAATACCCAAATTGATCCGTGGTAATGTTGGGCTAATATGATGGTTAGGGACTAGCCTGCCCTGATATACACGTTACAATTGGACGTTTGTGGCGCCTTTCTAATGCCTCCCGTCCTTGTCACGAGCAACTAATAATAAACAATGAAATTAATTATTTTTTTATAAAATTTTAAAATTACTTTTAACAAAAATTATAAGTTAGCGGAGTTTTAATTAGTTATGATGTTTTGCTATGTTGAAAAAATTAGTACTTTTTTTTTTTGCCTACGAAAAAAATTAATACTTTAGGCAAAGCATGTTATATTATAAAACATATCGGAATTTTTTATGATAATGACCCGAGGAAAATATTTTAAATCATGCGCTTAACTCCAAGGAATGAATGACGTCAGCCTAGCTAATAAATCCCCTTTATCTGAAGGTGAAATTCAATGCAGTAAATCTTTATATCGACTTATGGCTCATAAAATAATTATACATGGATTGATAAAATTAAATAAACATGTTTCTAGTTTTGTGGAAAATGTATATTATATATAAAAATTTTATTATATATTTTTTGCGTGAAATATCTTTCATAAGATTGAAATACTAATCCCGTTATTCATAAGTATGAATTATTTAACTGAGTGGGAGCTTCGAATTATGAGTTATCTAAAAGTTATAATTAAAGGGGATTATGTTAATTGAGATTGATTTGAATCCTGAAACATATGCTCCATTTGCGGCGACGATAATTAACATAGATTTTCGTAAATTGATAGCTAGTAATAATTTTTGTTTCTTTGTTTTATGAATAAAACAGTGCTTATATAATTTAGGTGCATTTTGCAGTTCAGTACCAAGACTTGCCCGATGAAAGCCCAAGCAATTTTGGGCTGTGCTTAGGTAAGGTAGAGTAGGATGGGCTTATCTGCCCAAGTAGTACCACTACCTTATCTATATTATGTAAAGATCTCCGCCTTACTTAATAAATAATATTTTGGACTTTAAATATGCTACTTCTGATTTTAAATATAAGAACTAGTTGATTAATTTAAATAGATTGAGAAAATAATTTAAATTATTTATTTGAAATAAATAAGTGTTATTTTCCTAAAATATCTTCGTTAATCAAATCTATTAGCCAGAATTATCATTATTAGAAGAATTATCTTGAGGAAAAATAGATAAATATGAGAGACATAATATATTGGAATCTAACATTTAGGACCAAAATAAAAGTCAAATGAGGTTTTATATTAAGGACTGGAAGTACGTAGTATTTTATAATTTCACAACTTAGAATATTCCAAGAGAAGAAATATAAACCCCGTCATGCAAATTCTCATATCTATTTATCATTTCTTATTTTCTTATAATTACATAATCAACCACAATACAGTAGGTTTTCACACAGCAACCATGATCATATATGTCAAAATCTTAAGTCTTGAAACATTTCATTCTACCATATATGTATATTACGTATATATTGTACAATGATAGAATGAATGTATGTGTATTATATTACACAATCAAAAGATTTCGTCCAATAACTTCATTGATTGTTTTCTTATATTTAGATCAAATATAGCCTCTCATCTAACTTTCATATTAAGAATAGGAGGCCTAGGTTTAAAAAAAAGAAAAGACAAAAAGGATAGGAGGTAGTAGTATTTACATATAAAGCTTTGGATATAAATTGAACGAAAAGGGTAAAGTACCCTGCAGCATCTTGATATTATTTCTCAAGTATACTTAATACCGTAATCTTATTTATAGTGCATCCAATATCGTGATATTATTTTCCCAATGTACTCAACACTTGGATGTTAAATTTTTTGTCCAATTATATCTATCGCTGTAATCTTATTTATGATTTAGGTTGCTGAAAGCATTATAAATAAGATTAAGGTGCTGGAAGTAAAAAAAAAAAAAAAAAGATGCTGAACGCATCATAAATAATAAGATTACTATACTAGATATACTTGAAAAATAAGATTAGGGTACTAGATAGTATTTTATCTAAGATAAAACAACTTAGTAACAGTTGCTCAAACCTCATATTTATAGAAGTGGTGGATCTTTATATAAAGAAACACCTATTAGATGGTGGTACTGTCGTAGTCAAACGTGCATAGATGCATACTGGCATGCAAGCCCAGTAGCTTGCCATTATTCATATATATTACATATAGTAGTAGTACATGCCATGCATTTTTACACAGATTTGGCCAAGAGACTGTTGAATCTCCTTGATGCAAGAACCTGGCGTGCGCATTCAAAAACTTTTGTGCCCAAGGCATCCTTTATCTCAGTGCTGTAACCTGTTTTCTTGTCATAGTACCTGTTCCAGAGCATGACTCCTCCGAAGTTTGAAGATTCCGTCACGGTCGGAAGAACTTTAGACTTGAGCTCTTCTGGTGGTATGTAACCATAGGATGCTGCGGACGTCTCATTTGACGCTACTAAACCCAAGAACACTGAGCTATTAACTAAACCTGGCTTTGACGTCCATTTTGCCCATGAATTAAGAAGATTTGTGAAGTCGTTGTTTCCTAAATATTCGCACGTAGCCGATGGGCCATAATATAGAACCCAGAGATAATCAAAAAGACCCGTATCGATTGCACTGTCCAAGGAACTGGTACTGCAATGTGGGGCTCCCGAAATGTAAATCTTTTTGTCTTGGGTCGAACCATTGATCGCCCTCACGAGTTCGTCCCATGGCTCTGGGCGGTCTTCAATGTGGGCAAGATCGATACCGTCTAAGGTCACTGCTCCGAGAGGGCCTAATTTTCCGCTGAGAAAGCTATCGTAGAGATACTGTGCCAAGGAAGTAGGATCATCGACGGCATCCACCTCGACGGAAAGAAAGACTTGGATGCCTTTGCTTTGACAGTGTTGGATTTGTGAAGCTAGGGCGGAGCAGTTGCCGAGAGGACAGTGGTCTTCCAGGTTTAAGGATGTTGTGTTGCCGGAAACATGGAGGTATGCGATGGCGACGATGTTGTAGAGATTAGAGTCGCATGCCTCGGTTAAGGGTCCTTCACTGGATTCGTTGTTTTGTCCCCAGTAGACGGCGATTTTCCAACCAGGTTTGCTCATGGGGAAATCAACGGCATGAGAGGGTTTGATGATGACGATGGAGGACAGTGTGAGGAGGGAAAGGAGAATGAGAACTGGTTTGTTGGAAGCCATGATCGATGATGGAAGAGGGTAAGACTGAAGTTTTTTGGGTTTAGCTTGGGATTTCACGGTGTAATGGACAATGCCTATTTATAAAAGATATGAGGGCATGGGAAGGATAAACGTGGCAACAACAAATTTAATATAATATAGGAATTATGATAATATCAGTTATTCCTATAGCCCGTAACATAAGAGCTGCTTGAACTTGAATTAGGTAATTATAACTAATATGATCTGATCTCTCTAAAATAACCTTGTTTAATGTTAGATTAAATAACAGTTTATAAGTAGAATAAATTAGCTAGATTGAAAAAATAATAATAAATATGAAAGATAAAATGGATTGATTCTTTACATTTAGCATCAAATTCAAGAAGGTTACCCCCATGAGGAGCAGAATACAGGTTTGAAACCGGAAAACATACTTGTTGTGAGGATTTTAATCTCTACGTTTCGGACCCAATAGATATTAGTTTTAAGTCTAAAGTAACTTATAAGGATATTCTGAATCATACGAAAAAACACTCTTACTCCTCTTATCTCATTTATAAGGGAGAGAGAAACAACTTTTTTTATCTTATTTATAAGACACATAATTAAATTTTTAAAATGAACATACAATTTTATCCTGTATTTATTATTGCGTAAACTTTCCTTTTATAGAATATATTACATAATAAATAGGAATAAAATTAAATTGTTAAATTTCAAGATAAAGTTAATGAGATTTAAAGTTTTTCTGGGTTCTCATAAACGCGTTGAGAGTGAGTTATAGATACTCCCTACGGTCCTACATATAAACTTTATTTTTAGAGATGACTCTTATCTAAAATATAAATTTTATTTTTGAATTTTTTTGAGTACTTATTACTTTTTTTCCTACTTTGTTCTTAATTAACTGTATTTAATACTCTTTCTTATTAATATTACTCTTATATATTCTCTTTCATCATTTTTTTATTTGTTGCCTCTTATTTACTCTCTTAATAAATAAAAAAAATTAGAAAAAATATTTCTGATTTATTTATTATTTCTAACTAATTTTAATTGTTAGTTTGTTAGATATCATTTGATTATTTAAAATTTTTTACCCGAGGGAGTAGCACTGAAGCAGTATATTAGAAACAAGGGAATATTAATTATAACAAGCACGTGCATTATATGGGCGGTCGATAAAAATTGACATGAATCTCGTCTCGTCGAAGTTACGGCGACAGGAATTGCATCTTTTCATGATGGTTTGTGTTTTTATAACCCATCGCCCACAGACACGTCCTACATTCACGTACTCTATTTCTTACTATTAAGAGTAAAATTCTAACATCAACTCCTTTGGATCGTTGAATGTGTTTCTTTTCTTCTTTGTCAGGGGAGTAATGAATGCATTTCACAGATATTCCAAGTTACTTACTTGACGCACCTTCACTCTTAATATGCATACTATCTCCGATCCTATTTATAAAAATTAGTTGACTAATTTAAAAAGATTAAGAAAGAAGTTAAATTAATTATTTATAATAAATATGTGTTATCTTTCATAAAATATCCTTACTAATCAATTGTATTAGGTAGAATTACTATTATTAGAATGACTATCTTAAAAAAAATGCATAAATATGAGATAAAATGGATTGGGATCTTATATTTAGCACCAAAATAAAAGTCAAACATGATCTTATATTAAGGACCGGAGGTAGTATTAAATAATACGACAAATATTCTCATGTTCTACACAAAATGTAAGAACCACTTGGCAAATTAGTTTGAAAAATACTTTAAGATCCTGAAAACAAATTTAACATAAAAATTGTATAATACTAATTATCCCCCCTAAGAGCTACTAAATTTGGGTAGATTGAGAGAATCAGATAAGTTTAAGTTAGTTAGTATAACTAATATCATATGATGTTTCTAAAATAACCTGATATAATATTTTATTATATATCAATTTAATTTATAACTTAGTGAATTAGCTTTAAAAAATAAATTAGATTGATGTCTTATATTTAGAATTAAATCTATCTATCAACAAACTCTTATTCCTCTTGTCCTACTTATAAAGTAAATAAAGGAGATTTTTTTATTCTATTTATAAGTTATATAATCAAAATTTTCAGATGAATGCACGATTTTATTCTTTATTCATTATTATATAGATTTTGTTTTTATGGGATATAATGTATTTTAAATAGGAATAAAATATAAAAAATTGTTAAATTTTAAGGAAGAGTCAATAAAATTTTAAGTTAATTTTTTGAATTATAGACATATATATTTTTTGGTAATAATTGTAGACGTATGTTTGAAACCAAAGGGAATATTTATTATGACAACCACGTTTATTATATGGGCGGCCGATAAATAAAACAAATTTTAATCAAACAATATAGAAAGTGTCATAAATCTAGTCTCCTCCAGGTTACAGCGAATGGAATTATGATGATGATTTTATTTTAAATCATATTCTCCATTAAATCTGCGTCTCAACACATTGCCTACAGACACGTATTGCATTCACATGGATTTTTAGAAGCCGTGATTAGTCTGAGGGTGACTTGGTTTTACATGTTAACGTGTGTGTTGTCTTTATATTTCTACAGGGCCATGGAAGTTCCAAAGGTATCCGTGAGATGTTTAGGAATATCTTTTTTAGACACAGATATCCTTTTATTACAGATAATTCTAGTGGAGACACTATCAGCACTAGATATGGACATAGTTTCCAACATATATTTGAATATTGATTTGTTATATTGTGAAACTGGTCATTTATACTAGACCCGACTCTTATTGATAGATGTTTAAGGATATTAGAGGTGGAGATTAAAGAACTAACCAGATTGGAGCCGATGATCCCAGTTGGATTGGAGTAGAGTTGAGCTGATGTTAAGCTGCAGTTCAGAGCTAGATCGAAACCGAAACGGATTTTAGAGAACCGAATGATGTTTTGGTATGATATATAAAATGTTGAAAACACTTAACAAACCTATTGGAAAAAGAAAGGAAAAATTTGATCCTCTCAAAAAATTTAATATATTTTTAGACTATTGGCAGCGGCATAGTGTTGTTTAATTGAAAGCTCCATATATTGTAGTATCTATATAACTTAAACATGTATGCTCTATATTACCATTTATATTTATATGAACAGTAGTGGTTTAATTTAGTATCTACATATCTACATCACAAAAGGAGCCGAGCCAATCACATTTTCTATTCAGCTCGCCTCACAAAGTTACTGTTTACGTGAATAGTAGCGGCTCACCTGATAGAATGGAGCACTCCATGTTGAGCTCTGTGCATGTTGCTTGTATCTTTGGCCCAAGTGTTTACTCGTCCCAATGAACCTAAGCAGTTAGACAAGATAGTAGCATGGGCTATGGCTGCAAAGTTTTCAACTGCTTTAACAATAGTAGGGGCAGCTTAAATAAACAATGCAACTTGTGATTGAGACCGATAACGAGAGATTCAAATTTCAAATTTTGGATCCTTCCTTTCCTGTCTACCAATCTACCATTTTTATCTTTGCCTGTAGCGTCCCTTCTATTTCTCTATATCTTTCTTGAGCTAAACTTCAGTCTTGAATTCTCCATTTTTGCCAATCCCTACTCTAACATAATTGCTCTTGGCTTAAAGGTAAGGTTTCTCTTTGTTCCTTTTTATGCTTCATCCTTTTTCTACTCTCTTTTTTTACTCATTTTTTTCTATCACTTAATCTATTTTTTACTTCATTGTGTGGGCGGTGCTATTTTTTTCCTACTTAGCAACATCTTTTTAAAATTTGGGATGAATTTGCATGTTAATTTTAAAAATAATTATCTCTTCAGTAAGTGTTTTAAACGATAACCTTGCCTTTTTGGCTCTGTGGCCAGCACCCGCCAACATCACCCCAATATTAATTACTAATAATCAATATTTATTTTCTTTTTACCAAAATTGATATTTATTGTTATTAAATACAACCCTTCGTGCATTGAAAAGGGGTTTGGATTTTTTTCCTTAAATTATGAAGAAAACAAAGATGTTGCTTAGTGGAAAAAAATTTAAAGGGGCCAAAAAAATTTTATCTGCCGTGAAGGAACAGCGACAAGAATTATATATTTTTTAAGGGAAAACTAATCCTCAGATTCTCATAGTTCCATTCAATTTTGAATAGGTTTTTATGCCTTTTCTTTTAATTAGACCCTCCAAGATTCTCCTGTTAACGGAGACTCTAACGGCGCTTGAAATGAATCTGCGCACAGTGGAGGGATGAATCAACCAATTAAAAGGTTTGTTTAGAATGATTTATGAACAAATTTTTAATCGTAATTTATAAAATATGAAATGAATATGTGATAAAAGTTTTATCTCAACTCATGTGAAATTGCATATAAACACTTATGAAACGCCGATTCAAGTAAATTCAAAGTTGAGGCTCAACATAGCGTTTCCTGTTTCCTAGAACGAAAAGGAAGAACAAAATTGATAATCACGTGTCTAACATTCGAAGCTTTTGTCGCCTGAAGCCTGCGATCGCGGGCCTGCATGCTCGCATCCAAGTCCCATGTGACCTCCAAACGCAGCTCCTCCATCGAGGTGTCACTCGGCCGCCTCACTCCTATGCTAGTCTGGTGTGAAACTGCCGCTGATTGGGATGTCCCCGCCTTGGAGGTATGACCACCACTCCGGCCATACACAGCACTAGGAGTTACACTAAAATTGAGTCCTCTAACTTGTCTAAGGTGCTCTGGTAAGGCTAGCCTTGCCCTCAGTGATGCGGTGGGATCCATAACGGACCTCCGAGATTCTTGGAGCTTCATAGCACTTTGAGTCATAAGCTCCTGGGAAAATGATTCAGCAAAATTAAAATTTACATATCAAATTAAAAATAATAAACATTTATATATAAATTTTCGCAGCGTGCTGGAATGTTAGCGTGTCGTCCTTGTGCCTAGGAGCTGAGCCCACATCTCCTCGGAGGTGGGCATTCCCCCCTCCTTCTCCTTCTGCTGTGTCTTCCTCTCTTG